CGAGGAGGCGGGCGGGTGGAGGGGGAGGCTTTCAGTGCGGCTTGCGCAGGGAATGAGGGATCAGGGAGCGGGGTCGGGAATGGGTCGGGGAAGGTGAGGGTCGGTGGAACATCCCGCAGCGGGTATTTCCACCGGTTGCCCCAAAACCTAAGAAGGAAACACCCCCGTAAATTATTCATGCAAGGCCAACAAGCGGTTTTAATCCTGGCTTTGGCTCTTCTGCCTGTTGATTCCGGGTGAATGTTTCCTCCTCTTCTTTGCTGACTGGTGGTAGTCCGTGATCTCCACAAACCGCCTGCGGAGGTTGTAGCCCTGCCGCAGTGATCTGCCCTGTTCTCTCCGCCTTTGCAGTGGTTGCTTCCGAGCGGCGCTGGGTGCAGGAGCTCTCTGGCAGCTTCTTTTGGAGGGTTCTGGAGCCGTGCCGTCCTGGGGAGCGTGGTCACGTCCTGGAGGACTGGTTCTCTTCCTTTTCCTCCCTGTTGAGTTGTCGTCGTCGGTGCTGTTGACAAACCAGCTGCCCCACTGCAGGGATCTGCTCTGGGCCTCCTCCGTGGCACTCTCCCTCTGGCAGCAAGTCCGTGTGGTCCTGTCGGGCAGCCCCTGTGGTCCTGCGGAACCCGCCTGCTTGCTGCTGCCCTCACACTCACTCGGGAGGGAATGGGCATGGGAGGGGGGCGGTGAGGAAGCCCCCATTTCTCTCATTTTCAAATCAGAGCATCTGGAGGAAACAAAAGAGTGACCTCTGTTTAGGGCATTCCTTGCAGACTCCTCTGGGATTCAGTAATTTTCTTGGGGCGGTTTCCACAACAGAGGGAAGACTTTACCAAAGTCACCAACGGGAAATTCGACTGGGGTCTTCCCACCAGGTCTGCCCTTGTCAGAGCAAGTCCTCATCTCTATACCCTCTATGGCCTTCAATTCACAGAATCCTAGAAAGATTTGGTTTGGAAGGGTCCTTCTAAACCCCCCACCATGAGCAGGGACATCTTCTACTACACCAGGTTGCTCCAAGCCATCCTTCCAGGGGTGGGGCAGCCACAGCTTCCCTGGGCAACCTATTTCAGTGCCACCCTGACAGTGAAGGATTTCTTTCTAATGTCTAATCTAAATCTTCTCTCTTTCACTTTGAAATTTTCACCTCTTGTCCTATCACTATATTCCCTGAGAAGGAGTCCCTCCCCATCTTTCCTGGAAGCCCCTTTAAGTCCCCTTCTCTATGGGAGCCAGTTTCAGAGGGCAGAAAGGGAGCAGTTCACATAGGGCAGCAAACCTAAAACCCAGCAAGGGAAGAGAAGGACTGGTGTGGGGTGGTTCAGAATTGACAGCACTGAAGGATGCAGGGAGGAATTGTCTCCAATGGCCCTTCTCACACTCAGGAGGGTGAGAAGACAAACAGCAAATCCAAGAAAAGGAAACATATTTGAACACGTGGCACTGGTTATTACCTGGCATAGAACAGCAAGTAGGCTTGCTGCCTGAGAACTGCGTGGATGCCACAGTTATCCACAGACTCATCATCCATCTTGTACCACAGTCCATTGCTGGCCTGCAAAGGAAGGCATCCATCTCTGGAGAGGAACTGCAGGGTTCCAAACCAAGAGTACACCGAAACAAATACAATCCAGCCGCAAAATAGACCTTCTCCCCCAAAACACTAATGGGAAAGTTTGTCTTCCCCAGCACACATTTTCCCCCTTCAGGAGGGAAGCTGGTCTTTACCTTTGTGTAGCAGAAGAAGTGTCCATCCAGACAGGTGTCACCGCTGTGCACCACGACGGCGTATAAGGAGTAGAGGAGGGGTTCTCCAGCTATGTCAGACATGTATGGCAGAAGATCCAAGTACTCAGGATACTCCACAAACTACAGAGAGACCAAGTGGGTCAGAAATTATCCTGAACTACCATATTGAAATAGCCTTCAGCACATGATGGTTTGGGTGGCAGGAAACAGTTCTCAGCCAAAGCAGCTCTGTCAGAGCAGAGTCCAGGCTGATCTTCCCACAGGAACTCTCCTCTCCCCATAAGGGAACATGAAAAAAACCCAAATCAGCAGCTTCTGTAAGACTGTACTGCTTTGGGGAATGTCATGCTCCAGGTTGCTCTGCAGTTGCATACGCACCGTGCTGATCTTCTTGCCAGTGTGATCAGCAGCCCTTTCCAGACACACCGTGAAGACCTTGGGCACATGATGGACTGTAACTCTCTTAGAGATGGTAACCTCCTTCTTCTCACACCTTGAAACCGAGCACAGAGCCAAGTGCTGGAATGAACCCCATCTTGCCCCAGCAGGGCCAGACAAGCTAGGGAGCTAGGGGATTGGATTTTGGGGCTATCTCAAACCATGACACATCCTTACAGTATTTTAAGGCTATTCCATGCCATAAGGTCCTATTTAAAAAAAGCTGCACTTCATTGTTGTGCATTAAACCTGCCTGAGAACGTGATTGTCTGTGATGACATGCAGCTCCTTCACACTGGAAGTGTTAATATGCCGTCAGAAATTATCTTACTTGCTACATTTGAAGCAGTTTCCTCCATCCAGCTGCTTGGGTGTGGCAAAGTCCTCCAGAGCTGCAGTGAGGGATGAGGTTTCCTGGAGGAGGGAGGAAGGAGCCGCTGAGCTGCGGGAAATGCCCTCGCCCAAACACCTCTGAGGAGTCAACATGAAAATCCAGGCAGGTGATGCTGAGGAGACCCATCATGACCCCGTGGGAAGTGGCCAGAAGGAGGCAGAAAGAGGGTGTGGTGCTGGACATTTCCCTCATGTCCCCAGGGTTCCTGGGGCCATCCAGAGCTTTCTCTCCGTGCCACCACTCAGCTCAGCTACTAATGGTGTGTGGGGTCATCAGCAGTGAAAACTGATTCAACCCATCAGACAGGAACCAGACAGGTGTGAAGGAGGGCAAGGGGAAGGAGGAGGAGAGTATGTCAAGGGCTCAGAGGGGATAATAATGCTACTTGTGCAGCTTAAAGCCAGTGCCACGGGGAGACCAGTGCCATGGCCTCTGCAGAAGGATGTCCATTCCCCTTCCCACCCACCACAAAGCTCCCTTGAGCTCGCAGGATCCACTTTTAAGACAAATGGTTCCGTTCTGGAAAGCTGCAGGGACCTTGGAACCCCTTGAAGCACAACTGCAAGCCCTCTTACTTTGATATCCAAAAGGATATGCAGGAAGGCCTTGTAGGAATCAGAAACTGCTTTGCACCTCAAGCATGTGACTGGAAGGAAAATCAAAATGCTAAGTGAAGGAGGAAGTTAATTGACAGTGACAGTTTATGCTCTTGGTACCCACTATGCCAGTCACAGGACCATGCTGTTTATCAGATGGAAGGGCAAAAACAACACCAAGGAGAGCAATATTTGTGGAAATGTACCTCTGGATTTCAGCAGGCCCCCAAATATTTGATGAACAATGGTAGTTGTTTGAGAAGAAACGTCCAAGCTGGAAATAAATGGCAAGGAAGAGAGTTATAGGGTTTCCTAGCACAGCAAGGAGCCCAACAGGCTTGGGAACATCGAAGAGGTTATTTACTTATGCTTACTTGCTGCTTCCACTCAGACAGGCTCTCTGCATGGCCTTGAGAGCACAGCATAAGAACTCAAAGGCGTCTCCGGCCGTGTCAGGCTCAAATTCTTCTCCTATGACTAAGAAAGAAGTTAGTGGTTCTCCCCTGCAAGAAGGGGATGGGACCTGTTGAAGTGCCTGAAATGACTTACGTTTGAGGTCCTTGATGACAGCCCTAGGCCAGATGGCACTGGCTGAGGAACGCAGGACCTTCCTGACATGTGCTTCCATGATGCACATCATGCAGAAGCCTTGCTGAAAACCTGAAGAGGAAGAGAGGGAAGTTCCTGGGGTTAGCAAATCACACCCAGCGGTGGGAAACCTAATGGAGATCTTGGAGTTCTAAGAACAGTCTTCGCTCCTCCTGTCCCAAGGTGCCAATGTCCCAATGAGCCCAGGACACTTTAGTGCACAGAAAATGTTCTTCAGAGGGAGGCTAAGCTGGCACAAGTTTTCAGTGCAATGAGCCAAGAGGGTTTAACTTGCAGGGACAGAGACACGGGGCTGGAAAGAGGTGCCCTCCTGAAGATGGGCACACCTCAATAGGACCAGCATCTTCTAGCTCGTGTTCAGAGGACACAGGCTCGTGGGGCTGCCAAAGAAGGGTTGCTCTTCTCCTAAATGCAATTCCAGGTTCTGGGGATCCTTGGGATGTGCTCAAGGGATTTACAAGGAGCTGTTCCTAGAAGTACTCACACAACCTGCTGTGCTCACGAGAGAGCAGGTAGTTGGCCAGAGGGGGGGTGTATGTCAGGCACTGCAGGATGACGTTGATGTAGCAGGTACTGCCCAGGTTGCGGAGTCCCGGCCCAGGTCTCTGTCTTTGCTGCCAGTCCATGCAAATCTCCTCTGGGGGAAAGGGGATCCTTTGTGCCGGAGTCATTCCCTTGGCAATGACTGCAAGGAAATTACATTTGAAGAGATCTGACAGCATTGTTGCTTGAAAGCATATTCAGATCTTGAGTTCTCTATAGGAGCACCGAGGACAACAGCTCTAACCTCAACCCTGAAACACTGGGAAAGCCTAACACCCCACTAACATCTACTGGCAGGGAAATAGCTTTGGAAAATAGTCTGTTCCACTGCTTAGTCTGCCAAAAGTCCAACAAAGCCACACTGATTTCTGGCCCTCAGGCTACGTCCTTTTCCCTCTAGAGCCTTGAATTATCAGGCCAAGTCTTCCCTTTTCCTGACTGTAATGTGAGGAAGGCAAGGAAGCACCGAGCAGAGCCCCTGTGTGTGACAGCTCTTTCTGTGAGCAATGTCCTCTTTCAAAGTCTTGTGTGCAGTGGCAGAATGACCAAATGCATTTTCTTGTGTCTAACCAAGACCACCTGCGTCAGTCTGACTGCTCTCAGGAAGTGCCCAAGATCTCACTCTGGGTTGTCAGCCCGTTGATGCTCAGGGATGGAGCGTGAAGGGATGTCTGTGAATGTCTGTGGGCATTCACAAAGTTCAAGCCTGATGGTAAAGCTGATACTCACAGGACTTGTTTCCTGTTGTGAGTGTTGCTCCTCTCACAAACAGATGGAAAAGCTCTGGATAACAAAGGATGTCAGATCCTCCTTCCAGAAAGGTCAGATCAGCACTAATCCCATCACCTGTTTGGAAAGGATATAATTGTAGCTCAACACTTAAAAAAACCCAAATGTGACCCACAGAACAGCTTCAGCTGTAAAAAGGGTTTCATTGGTGCTTGCAGCTGCTGCCAAAGACAAAGAATGCTTGGAAAGATGCAGGCACACAAGCAGCAAAGAAAGGAGCTGGGTTATCTTGAAGGCCAGCTCAGTCCAACTGGCTTTTGCTGGCCTGCTTCTCAGGATACCAGGCATTGGGCAGGTGAAGTCCAAATTGCTGGACAGGTGCCACATCTCTGCCCCTTTGTGACGTGAGGCTGCAAGGGGCCATGTCACCTCGTGTCCACAGAACCCTGTGGCTGCCACAGCCTGGGCACCTCTCACGCCTGGAAGTCGCTGGAGCTCCCCTGGCAAAGGTCTGTTCATCCATCAGCAGAGCTCCTGCCTCTCCCAGGAGCTGCAGCAGCTGGAGGAGTTGGAGGCTGCTGAGGGCTGTGAGCCTGGTCACTGCTTTGGTTGGCACACTCAGTGTTCTGGGGGCTTCTGTTTCATTCTTCCCAGGTACTGGAATGTGTCCTTGAGGCTTGTGTCCAAATCACCTGGGCTCTTAAGGTTCATTTCCAATGAATTTTCTCTGCCCTCAAGGTTGGCTTTAGGCTGACCCTGAACTAGCAGGAACACCTTCAGGAACTGTGCTGGGTGCCAGGCCCCCCACCCAGCAGCTCTCTCACCCTGGCTTGCTCATCTTGCTAAAAAAGCTCCAGGATTCTTTGGAATCCACCTGTCAGGAGAGCATGTTGGAATCCAAAGCCTCATTTTAGGGTGTAAACTCCTCACTGAGGGCTCAAAGCCTTATGTTCTTCATGTCCAAAACCTCGTTTGGAAGGTGCAAAAACTGATTTCTAGGCTGTAAAATCCCATTTTTAAGGCCATACCTTTAGTATCCACATACTTTAGTAACCATAGTCCTTTCTTAGGACGTAACAGTTTCATTGTTAGGGCTCAAGAACTCCTGGTTTAAGTCCAACCCCCCCTTGTTTAGGCACAAACCCAAGACTCATCTGAAAGGCTCTGAGTGTCATTTTGAAGGCCACAAGTCCGCTTTGGAAGGTCCAAAGCTTCATCTGTAGGGTCCAAAGACTCAATTGTGGAGTCCAAAGCCTTCCTTAGAGAGCCCAAAGCATTGGTCATTCTTGGGCCCAAACCCAAAGAATGGCCAACCTCAAAGGGTGCTTCAGTACCACAAACTGTCTTTGCCCCCTGCAAAGCTCTGGAGGCTTAAAAGAAGGCTTTGAACCTGCCAGTTTGCAAACTAAGCCCTAAAGAGGAAGTTTTGGTCCCAGAGAGAGAGTCTGTGGAAGCTAAAAAGGGAGTTTGGGCCCAAGAATGACCCTTTGGACTCTCTAAAAAAAGGTTTAGGACTCTATAAATGAGCCTTTACCCTACAAGTGAAACTTTGGACCTTACAAATCAGGTACTACAGGTAATAAAGGTAATATAAGACGGGTTGGAAGACAAGAAATTAGGATTTTGGCCCTAAAATGGAAGCTTTAGTGACAAAATAATTAATAGGTGAGATACTACAAATGGCCCTTTAGACCCTGCAAAGGAGATGAACCTACTGGTTCCTCTCCCATCCCAAGAAATGAAGCTTTAGGCTGCCCAGGGAAGGTAAATGCCAGCAACAGCTTTCTGTCCTGGTTCCTTTTGTGTGGAAACAATCCCTGGACATGTTCAATTTTGGACCGCAGCTCCTAATTTCTGAGGTGGTTTCCTGAAAGTGGAGTGGGATCTTTTGAGGAGGGTTTCTTGCTCTTGGAGGAGAGCAGAGGGAACTCCAAGCCAGTGCTCCACAGCCAAGGGGACCTCCCACTTCTCTGGGTGGATGAGGAGGATACAGGTGCTGTCCCACCTTGTGCAGCAAGAGCTGTTGTTGGACGTAGCCAGCCACTGTGTCCCAGGCAGCCATTTGCTCTGGAAAGCAAAGGAAAAACCAAGTTTCACTCTGCATCTGCTGACTCTCAACCCTCCAGCACCCCTGGGCATTGGCACTGGGCACTGCTGCCCCCAGCCCCACGTGGAGAGACCCTCAGGGTGGCTGCAGTCCCCACAACACTGCACTGGTGGGTCCTGGGGACACTCCTGGGGTGGCTGCAGATCTCTGCACCTCCAGGGGTGATGCTGGGCATCACAAAGGTGGGCTCTACCCCCTCCCACGAGTCCATCTTGGTCTGCCTCACACTGGTGGGTTAATCCTCAGCGACAACAGCCACGACAGACATTCTGCAGCCCTTAAAACCCGAAGCTCCCCGTTTCAAATGTCCCAGCTGGGAGGTAGGAATACCACAGCTTGCCCAAAAAGCTGTTGAAGCTGAGCCACCTGCAGCCAGACTGCTTGGGCTGGCACAGGGGAGACCCACACTGTCACAGAGGAGGAAGGATGAGCACTCTCCCCCTGCTCTCAGGACCTACTTTACTCATAAGTGTGTGATCTTGAAGCTTCAGAGAAGGCTTTGAGCTGCCCAAACTGCAGGTGGAATCCTAAAGATGGGGCTTTGGTCCCTGACAGGGAGGCTTTGGGAACTAAAAAGGAAGGTTTGGNACCCACACTGTCACAGAGGAGGAAGGATGAGCACTCTCCCCCTGCTCTCAGGACCTACTTTACTCATAAGTGTGTGATCTTGAACCTTCAGAGAAGGCTTTGAGCTGGCCAAACTGCAGGTGGAATCCTAAAGATGGGGCTTTGCTCCCTGACAGGGAGGCTTTGGGAACTAAAAAGGAAGGTTTGGGGCTAAAAATGAGCCTTTGGGCTGTATAAATAAGGCTTTGGACCTCAGGCCTTAAAAACGATGCTGTGGGCCCTCTAAATCAGTCTTTGAACTTTAAAAGTGTAAACCTTGGCACTTATAAATGAGGTTTTGTAGACTAAAAACTGGATTTTGGACTTTAAATTGACTATTTTTTCGCCCAGATGTGGGCTTTGGTGATTTAAAATGTATTTTGGTCTCCATACTTTTGAGGATTGCATCCTATAACTAGGGTTTGTGCTTGAAAAACTTGGGGATGAGTCTGAAAAATGATCCTTTGGATCCTGAAATTGTGGTTTGGGCTCTACATTTTTTGTAATAGTTTTTTTGTTTGTCGTTGAGATTGTTTGTCACAGATTCTGACCCTAAGAACGAGGGGGTTTTGACTGAAAATTGGTGTTATCAACCCCGTTCTCAGCACAAATCCAAGGCACATCCCCCATACCAGCTACTGTGAAGAAATTTAACTTTATCCCAGCCCAAACTGGGGTACAGTTTGGTTTCCAATAACCCCTTAGGCCCTTTTAGGAAACTAATAGGAATCACTTATGGATGAAATTTCTTGTTTTCATGGATCAACAGCTGGCAACCCTTGCTCTTTCCCCTACAGCTAATATGCAAAAGCCCCACATCAGGGATTTAAGAATACATGCCACATACCCCCCACCTCTCCCAAATGCAAGAAATAGTCAAACATTGACAATCAGACTCTTCTGAGATGGGAACAAATTATAACTTTATTTATAATAATATATAGTTATTACAATGTGTACTTGTAATTACTGTAAACTCAATAAAAGCAAACCCATACAATAGGGAATCTCTTCATGTAGAGAAAACAGGATCTGCAACTTGGCTCTTGGCAAAATCAACCCCAAGACCAAACCAAATAGAATGATCTTAAAAATCACTGGTTTTGGAGTTTGAACCCCACGTCCCAGCAGGCCTAAAAATGTAAGTCTGCTTTGGGACAGGTACATTAAAATCTAACCCCTCAACAACAAAAATTAACAACAGCTTTAACAAGATAGAGTCTGACTGCCTCTGTAAACTAATATCCATACAAAAATTCACACACTGACACCCCTCAGAAGGAATCCAATGCTTCATACTCATGTAGCTTCTCCTCTGCTGGCAGCTGTGACTGCTCCAGCCAGGACTCTGCTGTCACTGGTGAGTTCTTCAGGGTGTTAGCATTGGAGTATTCTGGAGACACCACAAATGCAGGAAAAAAACATTAGTTAGTTCATAAGAATGGATGTTAATGTGTAATTACATGGCACTTCAGAGAACTGCTTTACAGACCTAAAAGCCAAATTTTATGTGTAACTTTGAGCTTTTGCCGTCTCAACACACTAACAACACCTTTCAAGAAACCTTCAGGATTGATAACCAAACAAAGGCAGCAAAATTATTCTCACTTTTTTAAATAGCTTGAATGCCAAGAGGAAAATGGTCTCAAAAGTCATTAAAGGAGTCTCCTAATGCAGGAGGTTCTCTCCTTATCTGTCTTAAGTTGCTTTTGCTTATATTAGGCTACAAAACCAGTAGATCTTTGGAGAAAAACAAACCTCTGCAAAGTCTCACTTGCATAATCCAGATTAAAGTCTGACTTGCTCATCCTGCAACAAAAAGGCACTTGGCTACAACATGAAAACGTTGTGCCAGTGCTCTGGGCCCACTGCATTATAACCTCATGTCACAGAACCATGGAACCATGGAATGATGGAATCATCATGGAATCACTGAACCACAAAGTCATAGAAAAAAATCTCCTGAGTTGGAAGGGACCCATCTGGATCATCGAGACCAGCTCCTGGTTCTGCACAGGACACCCCAACAATCCCACCCTGTCCCCCAGAGTGTTGTACAAACCCTCCTGGAGCTCTGGCAGCCTTGGGGCCGTGACCAGTGCCCTGGGCAGCCTGATCAGTGCCCCAGCACCCTCTGGGGGAAGAACCTTTCCCTGAGATCCAACCTAAACCTCCCTGACACAGCTTCATGCCATTCCCTCAGGTCCTATCTCTGCTCACCAAAGAGAGCACTGACTTCGTGGATTTCCAAATCCTGCACCAAGTCCTGTTTAGGTCCTGCCCATTTCCACTCTGGAAGCCAATGGAATTATTTTCCCTGCTTCTGCAGGTCCTACAGGGGAAAAACAACTTGAGTAGCAAGATGAGCAGGATCCAGTGCAGGGCCACAACCATTTGCTGCTGGGGCAATGCCTCTGTGTGCACACAAAGGCTGCAGTTGACTTTGTTGCTGAAATAAAGTTGAGACTTTTCCAAGGAGATGGTGGTGTGGCAGTGCGGTCAAAGCGAGGGCCGTGTGGAAGGGCAGGAGATGGGTTTGGCTGCTCAGGAAGCCACAGCTCCCTTCCCACAGCTGGGGGTGCTGATAGTGGGCTGGGCAGCCCCCTGCTATAGCTGCCCCAGAGCAGTGCCTGGGCTGTGGGCAGGAGGAGGCAGAGCAGCAGCAGAGCAAACGCTGGAAGATCCACAGGTGAGTCACAGTGTCCACAGGGGTGCCACATCAAGGAAGCCACATCTGTGCATGGGAATCTCTTTTCAGATGATCTGTGCTCCTACTTTGTGAATCCCAATCCAGCAGAGGGCTCAGCTGAGGTCAGGTAAGAGCATACTCAGGGAGCCTCTTTGGCCACATGGTTTGTCTGGGTTGGGCTGGGACAAGAACACTGCAGAGCTGTGGCTTTTGAAAGGGTGAGGACAGAAATGCTACCCGAGGGAAGGAGGCACCAGCAATGAGGCCCATGAGTCAGGTTCTGACCCCCCTACAGAGGAGAGCAAGGTGAGCAAAAGGGCAGAAATGTCATCTCCTTGCTGAGCCTGCTGTCCTCCAAGGACAAGGTGATGGGGTGGGTGCTGTCAGTAGGTGTGAGATTCATCCCTCCCTTCCACCCTCCTAGGGAGGAGCTGTGGAGCTCAGAGGGTCCCAGGGGGTCTGTCAGGGGATGCCAGCTCTGCTGCAAACGGTGCTTGCACAGGAAGAAAGGCAGTGTGTAGGTGCATGCCCACCCAGACTCGTGCCCCTCGGCTCTCCCGCTCCAGGCCATGCAAGTCCCTGCCCTGCTCCTGCTCACCCTTGTGGCCCTGATGCCCCCAGCCCAGGCCTGCCCCTCGGAGATGAACAAGGTCAAGGACCTCCTGGAGGTGAACTGCACAGGGAAGGCTCTCAGCACAGTGCCCCCAGACCTGCCTGCAGACACGGGCATCCTGCTGCTCAGTGACAATCGCCTGCTGTCCCTCTCCACCGCCGCCCTCCTGCCCCTCACCCAGCTGCAGGACCTCGACCTGTCCTTCAACGGGCTGGTGACTCTGCACACTGGGGACCCGCTGCCATCCCTGAAGGAGCTGATCCTGTCCCACAACAACCTGGGAGCCCTGCCCGACCTGCAGGGCCTGCCTGCGCTGACCCGCCTGGCCGTGGCCAACAACAGCCTGGTGGCACTGGCCCCGGGGGCTTTCCGCTCCGTGCCACAGCTGCAGGACCTGGACCTGAGAGGGAACCAGCTGAGGACACTGCCCCAGGAGGCCTTTGCAGGGCTGGGGGCACTCAAGGACTTGGACCTCTCAGACAACCTCCTGGAGGAGCTCCCCAAGGAGCTGCTGCAGGATCTGCAAAGGCTGGAGACCCTCTGGCTCTCGGGGAACCTCCTGCGCACCCTGCCCACCAACTTCTTCCCTGAGGGGCACCTCTTCATGTACGTGTTCCTCACCAAGAACCCCTGGCACTGCGACTGTGACCTGCGCTACCTGCGGGGCTGGATCCGGCAGAACGACGGCAGCGTTTACCACCCGGAGCGGGGCCTGCAGGAGACCAAGGTGGAGCTGGCCCCCAGGAAGGTGCTGTGCCACAGCCCCGCTGAGCACCAGCACAAGCCTGTCATGGACTTCCAGCCCGACTGCGGCAACATGGGGGATGCGGACGAGGGCGGAGAGGATGACTATAATTATGGGGAGGAAACAGCAGAGAAAACTGCCTTGACCACCTTAGCCCCACATCCACCCATCCTCGAGGAGCACACTACCATGCCCCATGCTGTTACTCAGCCTCCCCTCCCTACCACCAGACCTTCCTTGAGCACCCCTTGTACCTCCACTCTTGCCCCGAGCACTTTGCTTGTGGTGTCCAAAAGCACCAGAGCTCCCAGCACCACCACTCCTGCACCATCCAGTCCTACCATCACACCCACACAGCCCCCCAGTACTGCCCCTCTCACTGCTGCTCTTACCAGCACCCTGCACAGACCCACCACCCCTGTCTCTGCCACCTCACTGCCTACCCCAATGAGCAGCACCCCTCCCAGCAACAGTGGCCTGCCCCAAACCACCCTCACTGACACTCTCATGATGTCCACTGGCACGTTTCTCGCCCCCTCCACAGCAGTGCCTTTGACTGCCACGCTAGAGGCCTCTTCCACTGTTAGATCTTCATCTCCCCCTTCCATGTCAGCCACCACCCTGCTTTCCACTCGTGCCCCAACACCACCAGCTCCCCTGGACACCACACGTGTCACCCAACCCGCCCGTTCCCCCCCAGCTGCACCTCCTGCCCTCTGCCCGTGCTCCATCCCAGGACAGGCAGCACCAGTGCTGCCTCTGCAGGCAGGTGGGGAGGGTCCACAGTGGGGGCAGTGGCTGCTGAGGCACTGCTGCCTCCTGCACTGGGTGCTCTACCTGTTTTCCTTGGCTCTGCTGGTCCTGACCATGCTGGCTCTAGCAGGCTGGCTGGCTTGGATGTGCCTGGTGGGACAACCCTTCTGGCACCGGTCCCTGCAGACCCAGGAGGTGCAGTATCCCCTGCTGGGGTGGGGGGACTCAGCAGGAAGCCCCGTGATGCATCTCAGCAGCTTCAAAAGCCCCCTCCAGCGCCCCACATTCTGCACCATCAAGGAAGTAGAGCTGTGCCCTGAGGTCACCTACTGCACAATTAAAGATCTGGGCATACAGCGCAGCCCTCCTGCAGGTTCCTCCTTCTGCACCACAAAGGAGCTGTGGGTCCACCACAGTCCTCCTTCAGCCAAGCCTTTCTCCAGGAACCTGGTGGTCAGAGACCTCAGCTTCCTGAGGACCCTGTCTGCTTACAGCCTGGACAGGGGGGTCAGTGCCATGGGTCATGTCAGAGTGAAATATGCTGGCAACACCATGTAAGTGCTTCTGTATGCTCAGAGAGAGAGATGGAGGGTTGTGGCTCTGCTTCATGTGTGCTTGTTTTACATGGGAAAGATCTGCTTGCCCAGAGGGAAGAGATCCAGCTCCTTCCTCTAGTATTCTCCAACAGCCTGAGGTTTCTAGAGCTAAAATAATTACTTGGGTATTTGGCAGGGAAAGATAATGTCCTAAATTGGTCAGTGACAGTCTGGGGCTGCCAATGCCTGGTCTCAGGGTGAGGGAGGGCAAGCAGAGCTTCTGTTGTGCTCTGTGTCCCAACTGCTTCTGTTCAAATGATGCATGCAAAGATGTGCTGCACTTCCCACTCAGTGCCATGTTCTTAATCACATAATAAATATTCTGTGCTTGAATTTCAAAGGAGTGCTGGTTTTATTTCACTGGACCTGCCACAGTCCTGGCAGGGCACAGTGAATGACAAATTTGTCTGCAGTGCTTGGAATAGTGAAGACAGAGAGGAAATCTCCGTGGAATTATAGAATCATCGAACTGTGGAAAAAGACCTGTGTGTCTTGGTGGACAGAAAGGTGAACAAGGTTCAGCAATCCAGCAGCAAAGGGAGCCAAATGGAACCTGGGCTGGGTTAACAGGGTTAACAGCAGCCCAAGGGAAGTGATTATGCCCCTCTGCTCAGCACTCATTAGACTACACCTAAAATACTATTTTGGGGAGCCATGAGAACCTCCCCACCTTCCCCTACATGTCTGAGGCCACCCAGTCCCCTCCCCAAAGGTACCACAGGTACCCCAGTATCTCCCACAATCCACATTACCTCTGCCTCTCCTTGCAAGTCCTCCCTGGAATTCTCTCACTTCTCCGCACAGCACTCCAGGTCACTCCAGGAATCCAAAACCACCCAGGAACCCCGAAGCCCCTAGGACCCCCTACTGTACCCTATCTACTCCACCATCAA